GGAAGGAAGGTTGGGCAATCCTACTTCCGTAGTGATAACTGCCTCGGAAACCCAAGGAGGGGTCGCTAGGAGTCGGGGCCGACTTGATGGCAAATAACAACAACAACAAGGCCTTCTAGATTCAGTTGCCTTCTCCTCGTAATAGCCTGATGAGTAAGTATGACCGAAGCTGTGAGGAATGTCTAGTCTGGGAACTACTTGTGTCTACCAAGACCCTTCTCTTAATTAGCATGCATTTCAGTAGGCCTGAGCCACCTGACTTCAGGACATTAACTCACACCACATAGAGATTCCTAAGCAATCACCTAAGTAATTTTCTTAGTTTTCAGAAAATAACATTGAGGCATATATTATGTCTTTTAGGCTTTAGAAAATTTGCGTGTATACCTGTGTGAAAAAATCATAGCTGAGAGACATTTTGATCATCTACGTGCAAAAAAAATACTAAGTAGAGAAGACACTGAAGAAATTTCTTGCCGAACATCAAGTAGAAAAAGGGCTGGAAAATTGTTAGACTACTTACAAGAAAACCCCAAAGGACTAGATACCCTGGTTGAATCTATTCGACGAGAAAAAACGCAGAACTTCCTGATACAGAAGATTACAGATGAAGTGCTAAAACTTAGAAATATAAAACTAGAACATCTGAAAGGTAAGATACCTTAGATATCCAAGACTTAATTTAAATGTAGCAATATGTTTAAAAATAAAATGCAAAACAAAATCAAAAAACCAAATTATCATTTGTTTTATTCAAAACATTAAACTTCAGAATTCTATTGGATTTGCATTGTCTACTTTGAACAATAACATTACAAGGAGTCCTGGTAGCACAACAGTTAAATGCTTGGCTGCTAACCAAAAGGTCTGTGGTCCAAACCCATCAGTGGCTCCATAGGAAAAAAGACCTGGCAATCTGCTCCCATAAAGATTACAGCCCAGTAAGATAAAACTGTTGGTCTCTTCCCATCCAGAGTAAAGAAAATCAGAGACTCAAACAGTTAGTCTAAAGGACTAATGTACCATTGCAAACCAGAGCCTCTACTTACTAGCGTGAAACCAGAAGAACTAGATGGTGCCCAGCTATCACTTCCAGTCACTGAGACCAGGATCACAATAAAAGGTCCTGGGCAGAGGGGGAAAGAAATGTAAAGCAAAATTAAAAATCATGAAAAAATAAGACCAGACTTACTGGTTTTATACAGACTACTGGAATCCCCAAGACTACAGTCCTAAGATACCCCTCAATACTGGAACTGAACTCACTCCCAGAGATCACCTTTTAACCCAACAGTAGATAGGCCTATAAAGTGAACAGTAACACCCATGAGGAGCAGGCTCCTCAGAATATCAACCATATGATTCCAAAATGGCAGCATTTGCCCAAAAACAAAATTCAGAAGGCACGAAGGGGCAGGAAAGCAGGGTGAATGGGAACAGGGAATCCAGGGAGGAAGTGGAAAGAATGCTGTGGTTATATTGAGGTGATTCCAACTAATTTCCAGAAACAAAACGTGTATAAACTGTTCAATGGGAAACTAATTTGCTCTCTAAACTTTCACCCAAATCACAATAAAATATTCAAAAAAATAAATAAAACAAATTACAGCCTAGGAAGCCCTATGGGACAGTTCTACTCTGTGGCTATGAGTCAGAATCCACTCAACAGCACACTATAACAACATTACATTAGAAAAGTGGATTACCACTCAGTAGCCTGTATTTGTATTCCCTTAACACCATTTATAGAAAACTTAGTTAATGAAGTCCCAGTACCAGTTTGTTTCTGAAGTCAACAGAATGTAACATTTAACCTATTCAAAAGTAACTCCTGAAAATACTGTATATCACACATAAACAACAGTGTACAAAGTATTTTGGTAATTCCAACTCTGCTGTTTTTTCTCCTACTGCTTCAGGCACAAGATGGAATAGCTGGCTTAAGTTTATAGGAACAATGTTTCATAAAATATACATAACTTTTAAACACTAGAATCATACTCAGTCTGGGAAGGTGTACACACTGAGAGGCGTGGGAACCAAGCCTCATTAAGGAAACAGCAAGTGCACTTCTCCCATTCCATTCTTACTCCAGAGCACACACTGATTGGAATGCCATGTAGAATTGTTTGCAGAATTTAACTTCATTCTATATGCAGAGCATTTAAGTTAAATGTGCATGTGATACAGCTTGATGTTCTTGACCCCGGAGATACAAAATGTGCAATTTAGGGCACTGCCCTTAAGGAACTCAGCATCTATTAGTACAGGTAGTCCCCAGCTTAGGACAGCGTTCTGTTCCTGTGATTCTGTCAATTCTGACTTGTCAAATACTTCATTTTTTTTTCTAGTTTTCATTATTAATGCTTCTTATCAATAGCTTCATAAATTTGGTCTTCATTTATCATTTTATCTTTGGGATTTAGAAAGGCTACATATAAATTTACAGATAAAATTTACATAAAAAATACACAAATAAAAGAAGTTTACTCTGACAATGGAGAAGAGTTCAATAATGTTATCACATTTTGTCAGTTGCGGTAATGCCACTTGTAGAAAGTTCTGTATCATTTGGGTTATCCCTGGGAATGGGAATGGTGTTTCTAGTCAAAAAAAATGTTAGTTTAATTGTCTCATGTCATTAGAATTAAACATTGCCCAGCTTTCCATTAAGAACTCCCGCACTTGACTGCTAACCAGAAGGCTGGCAGTTCAAACCCACCAGCCCCTCCTCAGAAGGAAGTTTGGGCAATCTACTTCCGTAGTGATACCACCTCGGAAACCCAAGGAGGGGTTGCTATGAGTTGAGTCCAGCTCCACACACATAACAACACCACCACCACCACTAACGCTGACTTCATTGTAGACCAGGCCATAACTTGCTTTGTGGCATTGTTTTGAAGAGTAAATCTTACCATTGAACATCTGCAAGTAAACACCTAAGAATAACATTAGCAGATTACATGCTGCAGCTCTGTGTATAGTATATATTATTACTAACAATAAGATGTGCTTAAAAAACAATTGTAAATGGAGTTCATTGTAATTCGAATACATTATAAGTCAAGGACCACCTCTGAATACTTGGACACATTGGACATTTCCCTTCTGGAGCTACACTGAAAAAAAGCAGTTTGTATAGCATGGGACAGAAATGCAGAATGTATTGTGAAGTTGATGACCAGTGCAAAAGATGACCTGCAAATGTATTTTGTAGACTGTAGGTTTAAAAAACATCTTAAATAGTAATAGCAGGGTTTTTTGTAGTGTTAATACAGAAATTTATTATTTTTTTTAATAAAAATATAACTGTAGTTATAACAACAAAAATATTTTTCTTAAACCCAGCTTACATTTATCAATATACCAATAAGGCTAAAAATTTACTTTTTGAACTTTTTTTTTTTTCCCCAGAAAAGACCTCTTTTCTTTTTTTGAATTTTTATTGTGATTTGGATGAAAGTTTTCAGAAAAAATGCATTTTCCATACAACAGTTCATACACATTTTTTCATGACATTGACTGCAATCCCCATAATGTAATAGCTGTCTGCCCACTTCCACCCTATGGTTACTGTTTCCCCATGTCGTTTCCTTTGCATTCCTGCCCGCCTGAGCTATCTCTCTGTGCAAATACTGCCCTTCTGATCTCCCATGGTTGATTGTTCTAAGGAGTGTACCTACCTGGTGTAAGTGGTCACCTTATACGTCTCTCTGTTACTAGCCAGAAGCCATGGGTGTGAGCTCAGTTCCAGGCCAAAGGGAAACTAGGGGCCATAGTCTTAAGAGTTTCATCAGTCTTTATCAGACCAGTAAGAGTGGTCTTTTGTATATATTTTCAGTTTTGTTCCACATTTTTCTCCTACTCTATACAGGATCTCCTGCACTGATCCCTTTCTGAGTGTTTGACAGTGGTAGCCAGGCACCATCTAGTTCTTCTGGTCTCATGGTCATATTGGCTGAGGTTCATATGGTCCACTAGTCCCTTGGACTAATTGTTTCCATGTGTTTTTGGTTTTCCTCATTCTTCTTTGCTCCAGATAAGGAGAGACCAGTTGTTGCATGTACATGGCCACTTGGAAGCTTTTTAAGACCCCATTTGCTACTCACCAGAGTAGGATGCAGAACAATGTTTTTGTGTAGTATGTTATGCCAGTTGAGCTTGATGACCCCTGTGATTATGGTCCTGCGCCCACAGGTCCAATAAATTGTTAGGGTGGTTGGCTGTGGCTAAGAAGTTATCATAACTTTGCCCCCTGTTAGTTCTATTTATATGGACATTCTTTTTTTTTTTTTTTT